CCTGAAGAAAATATTTGTATAGAGGAGTCCTTAATGAAATTTAAGGGTAGATTACTTTTTAAACAGTATATCCCTTCTAAACAGTCCCGATACGGAGTCAAATTTTATAAATTGTGTGAATCAAAATCTGGATATACATGGGCGTTTCGTATTTATCAGGGGAAGGATAGCCATCTTGACCCACCAGGATGCGCTGATTCTGTGGGTACATGTGGCAAGATAGTATGGGACCTAATCCTTCCCTTGTTAAATAAGGGATACAGGCTATGGGTTGACAACTATTACACAAGCATAGAGTTATTTAAAACTCTATTTTGCTTTGAGACCGTAGCCTGTGGCACAGTGCGTAATAATCATAGAGGTTTCCCCCAAACCCTGGCAAGAGGTAGACGCAGTAGAATCTCCATTTTAGCGCTATGCCAGGATGAGTTGCTTGCCCTTCGCTTCACCGATAGGAAAGATGTGTACATGTTGTCTACAATGCACGACGAAAAAGCCGAAGTGCATTGTTGACTACAGCAAGTTTATGGGGGGGGGGGAATTGACTTGGCTGATCAGTGTATACAGCCCTATCTGGTGAACCGGAAGAGTAGGACCTGGTACAAGAAAATTGCAATTTACATAACCCAGATTGCAATTTTCAATGCCTATTTGCTTTATAAAAAGGAAGCCATAGGTAGACCATGCCCATTTCTAGAGTTTATGGTCCAAATTTTGTCTCAAATTATATTTGCCCAGACCCCAAATCCTAACCCTCCTTTGGAATCAGAAGATGTCTAACAACTTTTCAGCAAACATTTCCCTTCCCGAATCCCCCCCACACCCTGTAAAAGGTGAAAATGCCGTGTTTGCTGGAAAAGAGGAGTCCGAAAGGACTCCAGTTATTATTGCCACTCCTGTCCATCCCTACCCGCCCTCTGCATAACAGACTGTTTCAAAGTCTACCATACAGAGCTGAACTACTAAATCACTCTGTATGGTACTTTGGCAGTTTGTTTGCTTGATTTCCCTGGATTCCCTGACCTTGGCTTGTCCTGACTACGCTTCGTTAGCTGCCTGTACTGACCCATTGGCTTGTTTTTCCGACTACTCTCACTTCTGGATTCCCCTGACCTTGGCCTGTCCCTGTTTATGCTAGCCATTATAAAGTGGCTACACCAAACAACTCAAAATATACTACATTTGTAGTACTTGAAATGTGCCTTCACAAAAAAAAGCAAAAGACTAATCACAGGGTTAATGCTACAGACAGTATCTGAGTCAAAGATCTATCTGCCTCTCTCTGCCTTCAGATCAAAGTGTACTTGGGGGTACTGTACTATTCCTGTGATATACTAAAAACCTGGAAACATTGTACATGTAGGTATCGTTATATTCAGAAGACCGTGTTAAATCAAAATACTGAGGTTTTAGTGCACTAATACCAGGATTATGACATTTCTAGTGAAAATGCAATTTATGTGATTAAAAAGACAAAAATAAAAGTAGAAATTGCTACATGGGCCCATCATTTCTGTCAAAATGGCTAGACCAAACATCTCAAGGTCTGCCATTTGTTATACTCTGAGTTGCCTACTTTTGAAAATGGTATGCCATAACGGTGGAAATGTTATTACCCAGGCTGCCATGGTCTCTAGATAGCCACATAGGCCCAGCAAATCACTTTGTCAAATTTCCAACTTTGAAATGGACATCTAATATATTTGTCCCTGTGACTTCCCCAAAAAACAGAAAATCCAGTACATGGGGGTACTGTTATATTCAGGAGACAATGTAAAAAAAAAAAAATAGTGAGGCTTTGTTGCAATAACTCACATCAGGAATAGGAAATGTCCTGTGAAAAGTGAGTTCATGTATGGAAAAAAGCAAAAATAAAACTATTACCGCTATGTGGGCCCTTCATTTCTGATAAAGTGGTTAGATCAAACATCTTGAAAAAAAACCATTTGAAATACCCTGGGTTGCCTACTTTTGAAAATGGTATGCCACAATGGTGGAAATGTTATTACCCAGGCTGCCATGCTCTCTCAAAGGCAAGATAGGCCCAGAAAATTGCTTTGCCAATTTTCAATGTGTAAAACCAAAAATGGACAAGCGTATATTTGACCCTGTAACTTTCCAAAACCCCATAAAACCTATACATGGTGGGTATTGTGGCGCTCGTGAGACATCACTGAACAGAACTAGGAGTGTTTCAGGGCAGTAAACTATATACTGACGTTAATATTATCAGTACAAGTACAGTTTTTATGTGAAAAATGCAAAAAAAAACACATAACACTAACTTTGGCTAGCAGTTGTGCCCAAGTGGCTACTACAAAAGACTGGTCATCCCCCATTTTGAATACCCTGGGATGTCTACATTTTCAAATGGTATGCCATTAAGGGGTAATTTTCATTTCTTGGCTGCCATAAGGTCTCAAAGGCAGCCTAGACACAGCAAACTAATCTGACAAATTTCATTGTGAAAAAGCATAAATGAATAAGCCGTATATATGACCCTGTAACTTTCAAAAACCCCATAAAACATATACATGGGGGGTACCATGGCGCTCGTGAGACATCACTGAACAGAACTAGGAGTGTTTCAGGGCAGTAAACTATATACTGACAATAATATTATCAGCAAAAGTACAGTTTTTATTTGAAAAATGAAAAAAAAAATGAACACTAACTTGGGCTAGCGTTTATGCCCAAGTGGCTGCTACAAAAGACTGGGCATACCCCATTTTGAATACCCTGGGATGTGTACTTTTTCAAATGGTATGCCATGATGGCGTAACTTACATTTCTTGGCTGCCATACGGTCTCAAAGGCAGCCTAAGCCCAGCAAACCAATCTGTGAAATTTCTATGTAAATAAATAAATAGACAAGACGTATATTTGTCCCTGTAACTTTCAAAAACACCATAAAACCTATACATGGGGGGTACAGTTTTACTCATGAGACATTTCTGAATACAAATATGTATGTTTTATTGCAGTTAAACCAAACAGTATTGTGACATTATCAGTTAAACTGACATGCAGAAATTGAAAAATATCACAATTTAAGTTTTTAAACTTTTTTAGATTTTATTCATATAAAATGGAGTTCTATATATGAATGTTTGATATGGAATGAAAGCCCTGTTTCCCCTGAACAAACCGATATATAATAAGTGTGGGTGCACTTAGTAAGAAAGAGGTAAATTATAGTTGAACAGACAGAGAGTCAAATTCTGTGGTTTGTTTACATTTTGTTTTGATCACAACTTGTACATTTGGCTCCGTTCTTAAGGGGCTAAATAGTACATTTTGGGGCATGCTCTTCATATCTGAGAGTCAAATAGAAGTGTCTAATAGTGCGCTTACAGCGCAGTTGTAAACATTCTAATTGTTTTGCTGCTAATCTGCTAAATAGTACATTTTGGGCAGGTTCTTCATATCTGAGAGTCAAATCGAAGCTTCTAATAGTGCGCTTACAGCGCACTTGTAAACATTCTAATTTTCTGGGTGCTAATCTGCTAAATAGTAAATTTTGGAGCGTGCACTTGATATCTGAGATTTAAATAGAAGTGTCAAATACTGCGGTTACAGTGCAATTGTAAAAATTCTAATTTTCTGGGTCCTAATCTGCTAAATAATAAATTTTGGGGCCTGCTCTTCATATCTGATAATTATATCGAAGCATCTAATAGTGCGCTTACAGCACACCTGTACAAATTCTTATTTTCTCGGTGCTTATCTGCTAAATAGTACATTTTGGGGCCTGCTCTTCATATCTGAGAGTCAAATAGAAGCATCTAATAGTGCGCTTACAGCACACCTGTACAAATTCGTATTTTCTGAGTGCTTATCTGCTATATAGTACATTTTGGGGCCTGCTCTTCATATCTGAGAGTCAAATAGAAGCGTCTAATAGTGCGCTTACAGCACACCTGTACAAATTCTTATTTTCTGGGTGCTTATCTGCTAAATAGTACATTTTGGGCGTGCTCTTCATATCTGAGAGTCAAATAGAAGCGTCTAATAGTATGCTTACAGCGCAGTTGTAAACATTCTAACTTTCTGGGTGCTAATCTGCTAAATAGTACAATTTGGGGCATGCTCTTCATATCTGAGAGTCAAATAGAAGCTTCAAATACTGCGGTTACAGTGCAATTGTAAACATTCTAATTGTTTTGCTGCTAATCTGCTAAATAGTACATTTTGGGGCCTGCTCTTTATATCTGAGAGTCAAATCGAAGCGTAAATTTGATTCAAAGTTACTACATCAGTCACTTGTAACATTGTTTCACACCTACAACACTTGTTACACAGATCTGAGTGACAGAAAACAGATTGATATTTTTTACACTAGAAACTACCAGATAACAAGCTGCTATATTTAAATCAGTTATCAATAGCTAAGCGGTACTTAAACAATATTGTAATTCTGGGGCAATACCCTATCAAGTCAAACTGAGAGGTCAGTTTATAGGGAAAACTGTCTGGGCGGTGGTCGGACGACCGGGATCTAATATGCCTGATGTAGAAGTTAGGAGTCACAGTGTGGAATGGATTAGCAGGGTCTGGTGCAGGGTAACCCTGGTGTTGAGCACCAGCGTTTGTGCGGCCACATACCAGGACCCTGAAGCAGCTTCAGTATAAAGAGTACTGGATACCAGAAGCCATCACCAGACTGATCGGTAACTTGGAACAGGATGTGACATTCACTGTAGCGGCTGTGCGCGCTTTTGGCGTTCTCACCCTGCTGCTGCTCGCCTGTCTGCGCTGCAGCGTAACTTTGGCCTTCCCGCTCACTGCCTCATATGCGACGTGCCCACAAGGTGGAACACCACCTTGCACATGCTGGAGAGACTGTTTGAGCAGCAGCAGGCAATAGTGGAGTTTCAGCTGCAGCACGCACGGGTCAGTGGCTCTGCACCAGACTTCCCTCCAATTGATCAGAGTTAAAGGATTTCAAGTGGACTCATTACAATTACAGGGCCTCTAAAGAGTCCTGTATTGTTATTTGTCGTCACTACCTTTCCGCATCGGGAGTGGGTCATTTGCACACCTGCTGCCTTCCTTGCATGTGGTAGCCATTTGTCAGGGTCCCTGTACGGAATTGAACCCCGATTCCCCGTTACCTGTGGTCACCCGATGGTAGGCGCAGTCAATGGCATCGAAAGTTGATATGGATTTACATACGAATGTATCGTTGCCTTCTCGTTGGGGAGCACATTGAAAAAATGCTCTGGCATGACTAGCTGGGTGATCTCCTCCGGGAACTTGGCTTGATGGGAGTTGAGCCAGTTCTGGGTCGCCCTTGTGATGCCACTGTGTATACCCAGATATATCAGAGCTGCTGCAAAAAGTACGGCCGGCTGTGCGCGCATTTGGCGTTCTCACCCTGTTGCTGCTCGCTTGTCTGCGCTGCAGCGTAACTTCGGCCTTCCCGCTCACCACCTCATGAGACCGTGCGAGCAGCAGCAGGCGATAATGGAGTTTCAGATGCACGCACGGGTCCGTCACTCTGCGGAACAGTTTTCTTTTTTTATATGTCCCAATATTTTGTGGGCTACCCAAATTAAAAAAAAAAAATATATATATATATATAAACAGTGCTGGCTATCTCCTCCACCGCCGCTTCCACCTACACCCGCCACGGTCACCGCCTCCTCAACCTATTGGCCACTTAGTATAAACTATGTACACAATAGCAGAGGCTTGTGAAGGCCTTTTCTCCATGCATCAGGAGTTGAGCAATGAAAGTTTATACCCTGCACTCCAATCCTCTCTCAAATGGATAATCCTCCTGACAACCATGCTTTAGATTTTGATTTATGTTCTTCCAAAGCTAAAATCAAAGATTCCATCTAGTGCTATTTTATGACTCAGCTGTATTTTAAATTTTTATGTTATTTTAAGTGATTTCCCTATCCACATTTGTTTGCAGGGCACTTGTCCTACTCCTACCCCCATTTTACTTCCTTTTGCAGCCCTCTAACCCTTTCCAGGACTTTTTTTAGAGGCATTTTTGTGGCCTAAAGTTCAGGTCCCCATTGACTTCAATGGGGTTCGGGTTCAGCATTAAGTTCGGGGTCAAGTTTGATCACGAACCTGGACTTTTTTTCAAAGTTCGGCCAAACCCGCCGGACACGAACATCCAGGTGTCCGCTCAACTCTAATTATAATGTCTTTAATTTGGCTCCCATCGAGGTTCTAACTTGGCTCATAAATATCCTGCTGTCATATGAGTGTCATACCTGCCTCATTTTCTTCTCTATGGACATTAAGAAGATGGAAGTTAGCCAGCTCTGACAATCACATCTAATTAAAATATACATATACATACATACATATATATATATATATATATATATATATATATATATATAATTTCTAGGATAGCTGCAAGATAGAAATGGTTGAATAAGCTGATAGATTCTCCTAAAGAGATTGTTTTTCATTAATTTCTTAAAGAATTAGTGTGTTAAGTCTGATAGGATGAGAAAGAGCTTTCAATAGCAAGGGTATTGTTTTTGAGAAACCTTGGATGCAAATGTGGACAGAGGACATATGAAGATCATTGGTAGAGCAGAATGATCCAGAAACAGTGTACTTGTGAATATAAAAATAAATATATTATTGAGTAGAGTTGTTGAGAGAGTTTAGTTTCTTTAATAAGTGTAGGTTAGATATTCACGGTTAGCACCAGTTTATGAAATTGAGATCTTAAAGGAACAGGAATCACAAATAAGGATTAGCAAAGGGGTGAGATACGTGAAATGCTGCAGGTCTGGCAGAAACATTCCTTATGGATTATAAAATACATTTTAACAAACATATATTCTTAAAAAAAAAAAAGAAAAAAAAAAAAAAAGACATTGCAACACCACCCTGGCCCAATTGTCAGACTGCATATATAAGAGATCACCTGGTTTGACCACAGCCCAGTCCACTTACTAATATAATATATAACGAGTTTAAATTTAAGGGCACGGGTCATTTGCTCCTCAACGAGTCACTACTGACCGATAGGCTTCTGTTCAGTATGAACTGACGGAATATTTCAGAAATAATGTGTTGAGTGAAGTAGCAGACAATATCGTATGGCAGGGCCGGACTGGTGAAAAAATCCAGCCCAGGCAATTTTGAAAACAGCGGCCCACTTAGAAGGGGGAAGGACCATAGGGGGGTGTGTTTTGTTATCACCAATGACAAGCATGCCCCCTCTTAAAGCATGTTGGTTCTATGATCTTCCAAGGCAGACAATACGCAGAGCCTTGGTGAAGAGCTCTCGAATGAGAAAAAGGCCCTGTATTTGTTCTGAGTAAATGTATTAACATGCCTGCACTGTGTTTGTTTATGACTTGTATCTGGTGTCTTTATAAGTGGGATACCAGAGGACAAAAGGGCCAGGAGAGGGTATTGTGCATGTGTTTGGAGCCTGCTTGTGGGATTGCATGTGTGTAGATTGAGCCAATTGTGGTGTGGTGTTTTGTGTAAATAGGTCGGTTTTAGTTGTGTTCTAATATGTGTTGCTATGTGCTGTAGAGAGTGAAAAAAAAGCGTGTGTGTCTATAGGGGATGTAGCGAGTGTGTGTATTGGGGCTATAGTATATGTATGTGTAGGTGATGTAGTGTGTGTAAGGTTGTAAAGAGTGGTATTTAGGGAATGTAGTGTGTTTGCTTACAGGGGATCTAGTGTGTGCACAGGGGATTCAGAGTGTGTATGTCAGAAATGTAGTGTAGTGTGTGAAAGGTGCAGTGTGGCAGTGTGTATGTGAAGGGTGAGGTGTGTGTGTGTGTGAAGGGTGCAGTCACTGTGTGTGTGTGTGTGTGTGTGTATGTGTGTTACATAGTTACAGCTGAAAAGAGACTTGCGTCCAACAAGCTCAGCCTTCCTCACATTTCTTTTTTTGCTGTTGATCCAAAAGAAGGCAACCCCCCCCAAAAAAAAAACCAGTTTGAAGCCCTTCCAATTTTGCAACAAACTAGGAAAAAAATCCTTGGATCAAGAAGCTATTACCCTACATTGAAAAATGTAATATTCAGTATGCATCTAATTGCTGTTTGAACATCTATATGGACTCTGATAAAACCACTTCTTCAGGCAGAGAATTACACATTTTATTGTTATTACAGTAAAAATACCTTTCCTTTGCCTTAGACAAAATCTTCTTTCTTCCAGTCTAAATGCATGACCTCGTGTAAAGTCCGGTTTGTGAATAGATTTCCACACAATGGTTTGTATTGGCCCCGGATATATTTATATAATGTTATCATATCCCCTCTGAGGCGACGGTTTTCTAAACTGAAGAGGTTTAAGTTTGTTAACCTTTCTTCATAGCAAAAATGTTCCATTCCTTTTATTAATTTTGTAGCCCGCCTCTGCACTTTTTCTAGTGCCATAATATCCTTCTTTAGAACAGGTGCCCAAAATTGCACAGCATATTCAAGATGTGGTCTAGCCATTGATTTATAAAGAGGCAAAATGATATTCTCGTCTTGAGAATGAATGCCCTTTTTCATGCATGACAATACCTTACTGGCCTTAGCCACTGCTGATTGACATTGCACATTGTTGCATAGTTTGCTGTCTCTATCAATTCCCAAGTCCTTTTCATGTGTTGTTATCTCTAATTCTCTTCCATTAAGGGTATACGTTGCTTGTGCATTCTTTACACCTAAGTGCATAACTTTGCATTTTTCAACATTAAATTTCATCTGCCATTTGAGTGCCCAGTCCCCCAGTCTAAATCCCTCTGCAGCAAAGTAATATCTTGCTCATATTGTATTACTTTACAGAGTTTTGTGTCATCTGCAAACATGACTTTCAATGCTTTCTTCAAGATCATTTATAAACATGTTAAGTAGAAGGGATCCCAGAACAGAACCCTGAGGGACACCACTTGCCACCTCTGTCCATCTTGAAAATGTACCATTAATGACAACTCTTTGTACTCTATTTTTAAGCCAATGTTCTACCCAAGAACAATAATTTTCATCTAGACCGATTTCTTTGAGTTTGAACACTAATCTATTGTGTGGAACTGTATTAAATACCTTGGTTAAAATCCAAAAAGATGACATCCACAGCAACACCCTGATCTATACTTCTACCAACTTCTTCATAGAATGCAATCAAGTTTGTTTGACATGACCTGTGCTTCATAGAACCATGCTGATTTTTGCTGATAACCATGTTCTTCTCAAGAAATTCTTGAATATTATCCCTTAATAAACTTTCAAATACTTTTCCAGCCACAGAAGTTAAGCTCACAGGTCCAAGGATTTTGAACCCTTTTTGAATATAGGAACCACATCTGCCTTCCTCCAATCCTCCGGAATACTTCCTGAAAGAAAAGAATCTTGAAAGATTAAAAACAGAGGTTCACTTATTTCTACACTTCGTTCCTTAAGTACTTGTGGATGAAAACCGTCAGGCCCTGGAGCTTTGTTTATATTAACTTTCTTTAGTTGCTGCAGCACCTTGTCTTACGTTTACCAATTACATTTTTTCTGCAAGTTTTTAGCAACAATCATTTGCACATCTATTGCCATGGTTGTGTGAAGAGTGCAGTGTGTGTGTGTGTTTGGGGAGCAGTGTGTGTGTGAGGGGTGCAGTTAGAGTGTGTATGTGTGGTGCAGTGTGTGTGTTCGGGTTGCAATGTTTGTGTGTGAGGAGTGCAGTTAGAGTGTGTGTGTATGGGTGGGTTGCAGTTAGAGGGAGTGTGAGTGTTTGGGTGCAGTGGGGGGAAGATTATATATATATATATATATATATATATATATATTTATTTATTTTTTTAATATATATAGCTTATATCCCCCCTCCCTTCTTACCTTTGCCTGGGAGGGGGGGACTTTGCTGCCAGCCCTGGTGGTCCGGTGGGAAATCCATGGTGGCCACAGTGGTGAATGAGCTCACAGCTCCTGGAGATCACTCTTGCGAGATCGGAGCATTGCCATGGGAATGCTTCGACCTTGCAAGAGAAAACCGGTGGAGCTGTGCGCTAATACCTCCCGGGTCGTCCGCGCTCTCCCTTCCTCCTGCCAGTTAGGGCCTGTCCTATGGAATGCCCATAAGGCAGTGGTTAGAGGGCTATTTATAAAAAAATTCAAAAAACAAAGTCAATCCAAATTCCTGGATTACTATAAGGAGCTAGCAATAATTTCCTCACAAAACAAGGCAAACCCCTTGCAGGAACTACTAGCTAAACTGAACACAATACATTTGAAAATAGCCGAGCTACATGCAGAAAAAAT